TCCTCGTTACCTTTTTTTCCGCAGACAGATTTTTTCGTTGTCGATTCGTTCGCGGCTCAGTTTTACCCGACACACGTGATACCTAATTTGCACATCGGATGGCAAGAAGGGCTCGAGTCAGCTCTTGATATACGCGCCGAAAGATTAGTCTTACTGCTGACCTTCTTAAGACGAGTAAAACTCTGCGGCATATATTAAATAGTGATGAATATTCATCGGGACGTGCGAAATCGGATAACACACCTGAGGATTAATTATCGCGTAACCGCAGCTTTCGTTGATAAAAATAGAAACATTTAAATCGTTCGCCAGTTCTGTTTCCTCGTTCCTAATTTCTTTCAATAAATCTTCCTTTACTATTTCATATTTCGCTTGGTTTCAACGTTGCTCCCTCCCACTGGTTTATTTAATGATTCATCGCAAACATTCGTTTAGCTTCAGGCTCACTGCTTCTCATCGGATTAAAAATTCGTTTCATCTTTTCTTTAACTGAAGGAAACTTCTGACTTTCTTTAATTGTTTCAATCACAGTGTTCATCATATCGTTTTCATTTATTGGAACGAATGTGTTTCAATTGTCAAGAATGATACAAGTCAAGTGATACGAAATTTGTTAGAATTTGCTTATCTTAATTGGTCGTTCTTCGAATGCACTCGTAGCTCTTGTTCCACGGTTTTCTATTAATTGATCGAGAACTCGTGAAGCTTCCTAACAGCGAGTCAATGTCAATGGGCATCAAGGCTGGTACACCTATAGTAACAATGAAACTGAGTCTGCTCGGACTTGTGTTAGTTTCCCTTAGGGGACAAAATTCAAAACGAGTAATAAGTCTACATTTTATTTTTCTATTCTCGATCTGGCATCGATACATAAAACTGCATCGATCGATGTACTTAAAAGCATAGATTGCTACTTAAAAAAAGGATACAGTTGCACTTTTTCGATACATAAAAGTACATAAAATTATTTGCATATCATGCATCATCTAATACCATTTAACTTTTGCCCATTACATCTTTTTCTACTTACGACCATTTAGGAGCTACAGCTTGTTCCAGTTCCGTGGGACACCCTGTATAATCAAAGTAGGGGTAGTTACTTACCTCGTAGATAGAAAGTCCTTAGCATTTGGTTTCGCGTGTTGCCAAATTTTTAAATGAGTTCTATTAATCTTTTCGTAAGAGCGACTTATCATCACCTTATATTTTCATTCTAATCGTGTATTTGTATTGTATACATTAGCTTTTGATAAGATCAGTAAGACACAGGCAAACAGAATGTGTGAACAGCTCGAAAGCAAATTTCGAGAAATTCTTAATTCGAGTGGATCAGTCGGAATTAAAAGCACGCTAAATTTTGCAATGCTTCGAGGAATGGTATTAAAAACTTTTTGATTAATCCTGTAGAGATTAGCAGGGAAGGGGGGATGAACGAAAGAGTTGACGAATGGACGATATAAATTCTTAATGTCTCGTTTAAAGGAGAGACAAGGTCGTACCCGAATCCGGTTCTCTTTGTCCTCGACCAACATTTTAAACGAGTTTTAACCCTACAATAAGCAGGGCTCTACTTGTTTCGTTCGAGAGTCATTATAGTTATTCTTTCACTCGTTCGACTGTAGTTTTCGTTTTCGTTCGAAGTAACACGGTTTGTTTACGGCTGGTTTAAATCATTTTGTTATTCCGTGTCTGTAAAATCAACGTCTCTCGAGCGTGAATCATTAACCAGTCACTTTCCATTAGAAAAGACGCAATTAATCGAGTTTGGAGATCTTTCACATCGAGTCTGCAAAGATCGTTTCGAAATTACACGCACTGCCGGAGCGTGAAGAATAGCGAGGCTGGGATGAGGTCCTCGGTTCAATTATGGGAAGAGAATCTCTAATTGTAAACTTCAATGCGAGATCAATTACTGTATTAACGCTTAATTGAGTTGATCGTTCGAAGCAAATGTATTAACCCCTGATGTCGCAAGTTTCTTTAACTTCCTCGTCCTCCGCTGGATCGAGTCTCATGCATTCCGGAGTAACAAGAAGGAAATAAATTGCGTCATGGGATCGATGGTAAAAATGCTCGATCCTCGAAGGCGATATGTGACGAGTCTCCTCCATGGCTGCACTCTTTTTGAATGTTAATATAGCTACTCATTTTGAAACGGGTCGGCGACGCGCCATCGATCAAAGCGTACTGTAATTATCTCTGCCGATGCTGTCCACGTCTCTACATTTGTCTTACCGCGTTTTTATTCTAGTATACAGGTACATACATATGTACATACGTATGTGTATCCTACGCTCTACTACTGTCCACGCGGCAAACCTGAATTTTCAGCCTCGTTATAACTGTAACCTGATTTACGAACCGGACTTTCGTTAGAATTCACGTCGTTAAAAGTTAATACCGGGAGATCTTCGAATTTAACGTCGTCGGGAGTGTTTGAATTTAAATTGAAAACTTCCAATTATCCCGTCGGCGCCGGGTTAAAGCGAAATAGTTTCAAACCGTTTCATTGATGGGAGAATTTCATTTGTGTGACGCAGCCTTTCCCCGTGAGAGATTTGCATAAAATTGATAAAGCTCGATACGTTCTAAGAAGCTTTGCAAGTATTCAAATGAAGACAGTAATGGTGTTAATTTCGAACCGAATAATGTGGAGATGGTGAAAAGACTGTTATGCTAATTTTTGATTCGCGAGTGGATCTCAGAATGGAGAGCGATTGCTCGTACGAGTCGAACTCTTCGTGGGAGTTTTTGGACGACGACCTCAGCAAGATTTACATCGAGAAGAATTACCACGACTACGTTGTGTACTTCTCCGTGAACGGGTCCCCGCGTTCCGATCACACGGAGTTCGAATACAGTTTCCACGGCAGCACAGGTATCCCAGCAATGAATTTCACAACCGTTTTAGTCGATTATCACGTCCGGGTAGACAATAACTTGCGAATAAATAAGGTAAATGTCCCAATTTCTACTATGAGTTAAGAAACAGAATTTATTTTACTTCATTATTATTAAGATTACAGAGAAATACGTGAGTAGAAATTGGGAGGTGAATAGACGTTTACCTTAAACGCGAATAAAATGAAATGAAACTTTAGATGAAAACCGAGAAGTGTCTTTTGAAGCGTTGAACGCTATTATATAATGTGGAGAATTAGGACAATTTAATGCTCGAGTGGAGTAATTGATTGTGAAACGTGGCAACTCGATTGGTTAATTGAATGCCTGTTAAATCAATAATAAATTGAAAATAGAGGCACGGGAGCAGATCTTCCAATTTTAGATAATTCCCGTTATTTTTATGACTGCGTTGAAACAGAGGCTTGCGTTAATATTAGCGAAGTCTAACGGAAACGTCAACCAATGATTAATTTAATTGCAAGTAATATAAAACCTGCATTCTCACCAGACAGTCTTAGTAATTTGCATTTACACCGTGAAGTAATAAAAAAGTTATTAATATGCGTTCTTCGGTGTCATTCATTATCCATAAAATACGTAAGGACGTTATTTTTTCTCTGAAACGTGTCCTTACGATTTTCCAAACAGGCAGTACAGGTGTCGCAAAAATGTTCTGGGTAGAATAATTTGCACGATCTAAATTCCTCTAAATCCAGTCAGTGGAAGAGAACTCGTAACAGGTGTGTTAATATCTTGAATAATGTCAAAATCGACCTGTTAACAAGTCGCCTCGTGTTAACACACCTCTTTCTTACAATTTACCGAAAGAAAGTCGAATAAATTTTCAAAAAATGAAATAAAAGATTTTCTATTATTCCAAATTACATGTAAAAAAATATTTTTGCAATTTACCTAAAGGTTTTTTGGAAAATAAGAGATTTTTTATTATTCTATATTACGTTTAAAAAGATATTCATATACATAAGTAATAACATAATATTTTAAGAGAAAATTGGTTTATCAATTTAGCTGCTGGCGAGGCGAGGGTAAATGTGGATCCCTTTTCGAACCAGTGGAACAATTAATATGATTGTTTGTAAATTCTCTTCATAAATTGCCACTTTGTCGTAATTGTTACTAAGAGAACGGGCTTTATTGATTTTCTCGAGCAAACACACCGGGTTCGCCTATACATTTCCACGCACGTGACTACTACGCCGGGGCATTTGTAAATTGATGACGATTAAACGCGTTCGCTTCGTTGTTCCCGGAACATAATAGCCGGTCGCCGTTATATGTATAGTCACGTGCCAGCATCTCTACTTACGTGTTTGTCTGTTGCCGCGGCATACAGGGAATTAAAAAATTGACTTCCAACATTGTTCCTTGAAAGCGAATCGCGCGCATTTATCTCGGGAGGCAGCGCGACACACCGAAACTGGACGACGAGATCGTCTCTGCGATTGGCCCGTTTGTCGCGATGGCTGGGACGTTCCACGCGCTTTCGGTGATTCGAACGCCTGCACGAGACGCGCTAACTCACGCGTTCCCTAGTCCTTAAGGTTGTAAGGCCTATGCCAAAAGTTTAAGAAACCCGAAAATTATGTTCGAAACGATAAACTGTTGAAGAAAATGATATTTACAAAGAGGTAGAGTTTATAAAATTTTAAGTCGTAGATCATTTTTAATATCATATATGGTTGGGACACTTTTTGATAGGATTGTACTTGACCTGCGATTGCAAACAAGTTCTACAATCTTTATGTTTGCTTACTTTTTATTGTGTATTTTAAGATTGTGCGAGCCCATAAATAGAAACACAAAGCATTGAAATGTTAGCAGTTGTTAAATCTTACATTAATCAAATACTGTGGAATAAAAATTTTGAACTCGTAAATAAACCAATGTCAAGACATACAAATTTTAACAGTTATTATATTA